AGAGCAGACAGAATTTTCCACTCTTTCTGAAACTGTGCTATGGTGGACCGCGCACAATGGAGCCTTTGTGCGTTGCTGATTGGCAGATCCACTTCTAACAAACACCCTAAATGGTAAAGTCACACTGGGAGGTGCAGGGATTCGATTCAAACAATGATGTCTTTTGCTTTGTATTAAGATGTCAGATTTGGAATCACCAGTGGACACTGTGGGACATTAGAAGGCCTCATAGTCAAGCTAAGACTATGAAAACATAAAATAGCTGAACCGGCATGAAATATATATCTCTCCACTTTATTTCTCTCCACTTCTCTCCTCCAGCTGTGTTGCGATGGTTTGAATTAGCCCCACCATGTCCCCAGAGGATGTGCTGTAATGATGCAAATTTAGGGCCTTTTGACAAGACCTTGACACTTGATATGTTGGTCAACTTCCTGCTCCGTGTTGGTTTTACCGAACCATAAATATTGAGTCCACAGGGGTGAATGAGATGGAAAAAAAACTCTGAAGATTGGGTTAAATACTTAGCCTCTGTTCTGTTCTAATGTAGCAGAGCTGCAGCCCCATCTACTGTTGCAACATACAGTACAAGACAGCACAGGCTGTGGTCAATCACTTATACTGTAGCTGGATTGTCTTTTGGTTTTCCAGGTGTTGTTATTGCTCCTTAAAAGTTATTTTCCTCTCCTCTTCCTCCCTCACTGGCTCGCTCACTCTCTCTGCCCCGAAACATGTGACCATGGTTATGCTAACACTGCATGAGATGTGGACCATTTTTAGGCTGTGGCCACAGCCATGGCATCTGTAGCCCTTCCACTGGCCTCATCTGGAAGCTGCAAAATATGGATTCATGTGGTGAATAGATATATATATAAGTCAATATTACCTTAGGAAAATACTGGAAAGCAGGAATTGCGTTTTATAAACCTGGAAAACGGCGATGTTTGTTTAAAGTATTTGTATTTGTTTCGGTCATTTTTAGAACAGCCAGTTGTTTGTGTACTATTTCTGGGTGCATGCGCAGTTGAGGCAAATAAAGCAACGGCCACTAGTCATATACTCATAAATCCTCCAAATTACTTTGAATCACAATATCTGTTTTCAATAAGTAAATAAAATAACACCAAGTAAAGTATCCTAATTGGCCTTCAATCTTTACATATATATATTTACATTTTTATCAATTCCAGTGTGTTCGAAAGCATCATGGTGGTGTGACAGTAAAAGAAAAAAGGAAAAATACTTAACCCTAATTAGAACGACCCCTGTCTAATAATGATGACACTGACATGCAATAGTCGTGAAGAGTGATTTTTACATTGCCCGTAGCCTGGTAATTATTGTTAAAGTCATGTTCATGTGAGTTTAACAAGCGTTATTTCATGCATATATTACTCAGACTTGTACGAACTGATTAGTTGCCACTACATAAAACAGACAAAAGACCAAACCACCATGAATATCTGCTTCAGGTTCCAGCCAAGTATAAATAATGACTTTTGTGAATTGGGGAGTCTGTACTTGTCCGATTTGCAGTCACTGAGACTTTACAAATCATTCTGCCGCAACACACCGATGGATGTTCGTGTTTATGCATAAACAGAGTGATTTCTATGATGTGTCGGCGGGTTTGACGTAGCTGTGTTTTTCTTCTGTGATCTCTTTGACGTGTGGTTAATTAGCTCTTTCTGACAGAGTGAAACTGGCCCAGCTGCAGTGGCGCAGGTGAACAATGTCTTCTGCTTCCTGCCTGTGAAAGGGCTCTGTGTGGTCCCGGTTTCTTTACATCATTCCAAAGGGTGCACAGATTAGGAACCTGTCATACATGTTGCCATTTGATATTCAAGAATACAAAGTAGATTGTTGACATTACCAACTGACCTTTTTTTGTTTTTGGTGCTGTGTGTGTGTGTGTGTGTGTAAAGCTTCTGTGGAGGTGTATGGTATCCACAGCTGTGAGGTAACTGTGTCTATAATCTGTCTCAGCAGAACGGTGTAACCTGAGTTAGAGCGAGGTTAGGGGTCAGTTATTGAACTTGAATTACACTGGGAGAGGCCTCCCTTTGCCTCTCACCACCCTTCTCAGCCACCCCGTAGGGTTTGTTTGTTTTCTTTCCCAGTCTCTCCCAGAGCTTACGCGGCCCTCTGTAATGAGTATCTAATACACACCCTCAGACATGTTTACACTACATGTAAAAGCAGTGGCTGTGTGATCTTGTAACTCAGACATGTGTGTCACAGTATATGCTCATTACATGCGTCTGTGCATTGTTGTGCGCATGTGTATGTATATATGCATGTCTGCTGGCTCCCTTTCATGCCAACTCACACCCTTTATTTTACTCATTTCTGAAGTCTGTAGCCTGAGGGAAAGAACACCTGCCAGGTTTTTTTTCCTCCCTGCAAAATCTCAGATAAGACAATAGACGTAGGAAAGGTGTTTGGTTACCGAAATAGAGCAGGGAATGAGACATATTAAAACCTCTCGTCTCACCCACAAGGTTGCCGCACCTCTCCAGGTGGGAGTATTGTTAAAAAAAAACACATTTGTTATGTCAGGAGAGTAAGATTTGGGAGTGAAAGAACCTCAGCGTTTTGCTTTAAACTCATAATTTGACCTGAACCGTAGGCCGTGGGCCCCCTCTGCAAGCTGTTAGGTTTTTTTTCACCATATCATTTTTCACTGCACATGTTCCCTGTTATAAGAGTAACTAGGAATTTGGACTGAATGGACAATAAGGTTTCTGAACCTTGAGAGGAGGATTATTTTTAATTGTAAGCAGAGGGGAAACGAACGGTGACCAACAGTTAGCCCACAGCGCACTCTGTTGGAGAGCCTGTTGCACTGTACTAATAGAAGACCCAAAACGTTCCAGTGCAGCTTTTGGTCTTTTTATAGGCAACAAACCACACCCCTGCTCCCTTTGAAGAGCTTGTATTCTCTAAGTAGTAGTTAAGCTTGCCAGTACTTACTCACTATTTTATAAGTATGAGTGGAAGGGAAGTTCTTTGAACTGTACCTATTTATAATCCCAAGGCTGATGGGCTCATAATACAGAGGTACATACATGGGTTATACTCACATAATTAGCAGGGATGCCCATGAATTACTGTTGAGTGTTTTCCCTGGTGCAGGTGGATATGACGAATCATCCAAACCACAACGCTTTCTAGGATTTAACTCCTCACTTCACTGTTTGGGAAACTTTTAACTTTTATGATTTAGATTTATTTTCCCCACTCATTTAAGGTTTATAAATATAATCTATTTTTATCATGACACACATTGCTGGCTTGGGATTTCAGTGTGCACCAGGATATGTAAAGAATGTTGTCTCTTTAAATACAAAATACAATACAAACATAAAGTATTAGGTGTAATGCCTAATAATGCATTTAGTTTCTATGCTATCTGTGATGTGATCATGCAAATGTTGCATGTTGCAGTAGTTGAGTACAGCCAGTAAATGTTGCCATAGCACTAAACCCTACGATTATTTGGTGAAGATGGGAAAAAACAAACTGACAATCTGTACCGACAAGCATAAACCACAAGATGGTGGTGCTGTACCGCCTTAATACGGCCTGAAATCGTTTAGGTTCATTGCGAGAACAATGCAGATATTTTAAACCCCAGCCATCAGCCTTCGAACACTGCAGTCACAAACCAGTACCATCCTCAATCAACTGTTCAGTACCAATGAGTTTTAGATTTTAACTGTGTCGAATTCTTTATCATAATGTTTAAAAGAGAACCATAACCATAGCAGACTTTTGCCTCCCCATGATTTAGTCCATTTCTTAACGTCCTTTATTAACAAGTATGCAGCCCGCAGACACGGTCATAAAAAGATATTGTAATAATAAATTAAATTGAGCTCCATATCAGAACATCTTTAAATATTTGCATATTTAATTATGCAGACAAATCAAGGAATTCCGTTAAGACTTGTCAAAAAAAGTATTAGTAGTAACCCAGACCTGTGTGGATAAGGTCTGTTTGAGGAGACATTGTTCTTTGTTAAACAATTTCTCTGCAAGTGCTTCCAGGGAAGAAACTATGTGTCTGATGGATGACACTCATTTCAAGGCAGTCTTTGAGGTATTACATGGCCAAGAACATTGTAAAACACAGGCAGCCTTAGCTCCACTAATACTGTGGTTTCCCGGAACAACAAAAACATTCTTCACTTAAAAAGGAAATACGAAGTGAGATGATTTGACAACTTGCATAACTTTTCCTTCAAAGATTACTGTTCTTCAGAGTAAAAGCAGAAATACATGTGTTTTTTTTATGCACTGACAATCCAAATATTTCTTCTCAGACTGTAGGCCTTTGCCTTTGAGAGTGTTGGTGCTGATTTTAGATGGAGCTGAAACCTCAGGGCTGATAGGAAGACTAATGATGGATATCAAACTCCGAGGCATGGAGAATAACAATGAGTCACTGTGTGCACTGCTCCGGTATGAAATGATTCTGTATTGTTGCTTCTAATTTGAAATTGTGACTCATGAGGGAATACTGTCTGAAAAAAATTTCGTCTCTTTCTCTTTCTCTCTCCAGTCCTCTCTTTTTCATTTTTTTTTTCTTTTTCTCTTACACACACATACGCAGACATACACACACACAAGAATCCTGTTCTTTCTCTCCACAGCTTCAGTCACAGATATACTATTCAGGGCTTGGTCCTCAAACTGTCAGTGTTAATCAATCATTAATAAGGAAAGAAAATCTAAGCTGACTAAGGCCAGAAATGCCAGTCAGACTTTGACAGGTCTGACCCCTGCGACATATCTGAGCACCGAGCAGTGACCACACACAGAGACAGCTGCTCCGAGGCTGACGACTGGCTCTTTTTTTGGAATTTTTGGAAAGAAAATCAACAGTGTAAGCGTTGCGCAGCCCACAGGGCTTTATGTTTTATTTAATAGGAAAGTTCAACTTGGATAAAAGATCTCGAGGCAGAAACACATTCTTGATTCACTGAACTTTGAAGAAGTTTGGTTAAAAAGACATAAAAGGGCTCAAAGACGTGCATGACAAATGAAAGAGAAAGAATCATTTAATTTAGCGTAGTCTTCCACTTCAGTGATCCAATGTCCCATAATTCCAATGGTCCAAATGAATGGTGCACAAAAGAGGTGAAGAAGAGAGGACAGGCAGGAATGGAGACAGGATGTCATGTGAGCTTTGTGACAGGATAGTTGGAAAATTAAAAGGAAAGGTTTATATGACTGTAGTCAGAAATGCTATGTGCATGTGATTGAGAGACTGTGGCAAAGAGGTGGAGATGCTGAGATCTCCACTGGAAGTGGGAAGATTAGAACTGAGTGGAGGGAGATCAGTGAAGGTTTATGAGTTTGGAAGTAAAGTTAGTTTGCGGGTGGTAAAATGACACTATTGTTATATCAATCTTATTATATAACCCCATTAAAAATTCTTACTCGAGAAAAAACAAATTACATTTATCATTGATGGCTAACAGATGTCCTCTAGATATAAGGATAAGACCAGCAGGCCATTGTTAGATTGTGATGGTTCGCTGTTGTGAGCGACAAACTCCCACATCTGTACTTCTCTAACAAAGACATGACAAGTCTCTGACAACATAGTCCTTATGTCTCTGTCTGTGACTGACAGCATGAAAGGCCTTCCTCTGCAACAAATTAAGTAATGATGTGCTTTATTTAGTGCTCTTCTCATACAACAAGTACATGGTTTGATCTCAGTGGTAACTGATGGAGTTTGTATGTCGTGTGTACGCTCTCCCCTTGTGTCCTTGGGTTTGTTTTCATGGTACTCCACATGCAGGATGAAGTATAATTCACCCCTAAACTGACCAAAGGTGTGAATGTGAGTGTGAATAGTTGTTTTTCCAGCCTACAAATTAAGCAATAAATGCAGTGATGTTGTAAGAGCAGATAGCCTCCAGTCTCCTCCATGTTTCATAATACTTCACGTAAAAGCTGGAGGGAAAACAGGAGGAAACATGTCTACTAGTTTCAGCACAAACATTTAGTTGCCATGTTAACGGTGGTTATGGTAAAGTACTAAAGCGTCTGTACTAAAGCACAGACGCCAAAACAAGAAACAGTGTGCATGTATTCCTTATATTCCTACTGGAACTCTTATAGTCCTATAATTTCTTGGCACCAGTTAATTATCAGTATCCATACACATATCAAAGAAATATAATGTCATGATAATAATGTTAACAAGTTTTACTAAACCAAACCGAACTGTTGCATGCACCTGCTCCAGGAATGACATCATCTGGAGAGCTTCCACATGGCTCTGTTCCACTTTTCTCCCTGTGTATTGCCTCGGACGCACGGAGGCGCTAGTTCACTGCAGGCATCTACCCTGCCCCTGCCCTGACTTTGTGCAATGAAACCAGACGTGCTACTCATTCAGATCCCCTCTGCTCACCGCCCCCACTCTTCACCCCCTCTCCCCGCGTCTTCGCTGTAGCTGCAGGTCGCTCAGTCAGTCCGTCACTCAGTGACCAGGGACTGCTGCGCCTGCGTCCGCCTCCGCTGCTCTCCAAAGCCGAGACGCGCCTCCGCCGCCGTCAGTGCGGGCATGACACATTCTGGCAGCTGTAGTGGGCTTCCGCCAGTCAGCTTTTAAACAGATTACACAGGAGACAGGAAGACAAATACGAGGAGAAGAGAGTGAACTGACTCATTTTTGCCTCAGCCGTGCAGAGAAGAGCCGATGAGTCAATGGCAGGGGCACAGCCTGGAGTTCATGCGCTGCAGCTCAAGCCAGTGTCCGTTCCCGAGAGCCTGAGGAAGGGCAACAAATTCATGAAATGGGATGATGTAAGTAATTTCGAAAAAGACCGGCAGTGATTTTCCTTTCTCCTCAGTTTCTCCTCACTGTGCATGCTGCTCCACCGCCGGGATAATCTTACAGAACCTGCACTCTGCACAATGACTGACAGTAGCTGGCCGCCGTCGACTTGCTGGTTAACATGCAACAGCTGTAGTGTCTATTGACATGTGCGTGTTTACATTTGTGTGTGTGAGTGAAGCGCGTTCACGTCAGCGTAAGCGCGCGCACGGCGTTAATTTAATTAGACATTAAAAACAAAGCGTCTTCTCATTTACTTTCAACCTTCAGACCAATCAGCCTAATGCCTCTGAAGACTCTGTGCAAAATATTTTTTGTTCTATTCATTTATTTCATGAATATTTATATTTTTTTCACTGTCATCTGTTACTGTGGTTAGATGGCTTTTATTAAAGTGATGCAAAGTACGTTTACATTGTAGTAGAAGTACAGTTTTGGGACCACAATGGTCGCTGCCATCCTCTCAACAACAAATGCATCAAATACAATATGTTTATATCTGTGAAAAACATGTGACCATTGTTATAGTCTGAATAAAATAATCTGATTTATAGTTTATAGTTTTCTTAGTTTCACAACATAGGAAGTATTGATTTATGAAAATGGAAAATCAGGTGCATGTGCATCAACCATAGAAGGTCTGGTTAGAATAATGAACCTGCTGCTGTTTATAGATGTGTTTATAAACGTTGTCTCACTGCAACCTCTGGTTTGCATTGGCCTGGGAAGTGTTTTTTTTTTTTTTTTTTGCATATTTCCCCCATGTGTGCATTGTTTGAATTTGGATCGTTTCTCTCCTCCCCCTCTTCCAACGGCATGCAAACTGGGAATTAGGTAAATTGGAGACTCTGGCATGAAGAGAAGTGTTAATTTGAGTGTGAACGCTGCAGTGGACTGGTAATAGACCAGAGTGTACAAGGCGTTTTCCCATGATAACAGCACCAGCCCGCTATGACACTTAACAGGAGCTAGGGAGTATGACTGTGTATGTACAAGATGGTTACAAATATAAGATGACTTTAATTTATTTTATATTTCTCCACAGATAATGTAAAGGTGAATATTAATTGAGCATGGACATATTTTCCACCTGGGATTTTTCTTACCAATTGCAATAGAATAGAAAAAGAAAAAAATATGGACAGATGGCAGCGACACAACCAGAAACGATGGTACGACTGTTGCAGTATTTAAACATTTCTTGGAGTTTTAATATGCTCAGTAAACACTTATTGTGAAGAAAATTATTAAAAATGTCTTGGGAAAAAGTCACCCTGTTGCTCAGAGAAATAAAAAAACAAAAAACAATTCCAAACTTTATTTCTAGGGAATGCAGATACCATCACAGCCTGCCTTGTTTTCAGCAGGGACTTGTGTGTGTGTGTGTCTGTTTCCCCCAACAGATGTGTTTGTGTTCTGCAGGTTGTACACGAGAGGCATATCTGCAGAACCAACAGCTCACCAGGCCTTTCCTGCAAAAGCACACACTATCAAACACAGCCCTTCACACACAGACACTCTCTGTGTTTTATTTCCCA